AAGTAGAGATGCCACTAGGATGTTGTGTTTAAGTGTCTCAAATACAGAAGAGAAATCATTGCAGCAATTTGGATTACATTAGTTTATTAATTAATTTTAATTAAGGTCGTTGGATGCTACAACTCATCTACAATATATGACACTCCTACTGAATTCAGAACCATTGGAGAGACAGATGCAGGCAATCAAAACATCACCTTTACTACAGAAAAGCTTATGTATTTTATTTTATTTAAAAATTTTTAGATTCAGAGGTACATGTGCAAGTTTGCTACCTGGGTATATATTGTGGTGCTGAGGTTTGGGCTTCTGTTGATCCCGTCACCCAAGTTGTGAACACGGTACCCAGTAGATCAGGGGTCTCCAACCCTTGGGCCTCAAACCAGACCAGTCCATGGTCTGTTAGGAACCAGGCCACACAGAAGGAGATGAGTGGCAGGCCAGTGAGTGAAGCTTCATTTGTATTTACAGCTGTTCTGCATCACTTGCATGACTGCCTGAGCTCTGCCTCCTGTCAGATCAGCAGTGGTATTAGATTCTCATAGGAGTGAAAACTCTGTTGTGAACTGTGCATTCCAGGGATCTAGGTTGCGGACTCCTTATGAGAATCTAATGCCTGATGATCTGAAGTGGAACTGAGGCAGTGATGGAGAACAGCTGCAAATACAGATTAACATTGACAGAGAGGTTTGATCGCACAGAGACCATAATAAATCAATTGCTTGCAGACTTATATCAAAATCCTATCAGTGAATGGCAAGTGACAAGCTGCATCTGGTAGCAGGCTTTATCGTGGCAAGTGAGTTGATGTGCTTTAATTGTACAGCTACATCTGGTGACAGGCTTTAAGTCAGAATCCAACACTTATTTTAGTCTGCACATGGCCTGCTCATTATTTTATTTACCACTTCCATCTGCACCTTTTTCTTGCACTGCACACTTTTCTCAATTACAGTTTTGGTAAGCGCACAAGCTAATCTCTGGCCAAAATGAGTAAAAAGCAAACATCACTGCAGAGCTTCTTTGAAAAGGAGGAAAGACCCAATGGTGAGACAGCAGAAGACTGCCAACAAAAAGAAAGCTTCATTTAAAAGAAAATACCAAGAGTCCTACTAAAATTACAGGTTCATTGTAACAGGTGATTCACATTCTCCAAGTTTGCTTTCTATAATATGTGGCAACCAGCTATCCCATGAAGCCATGAAACCTTCAAAACTGCTTTGCCACATGGAGACCAAGCAGCCTGCATTAAAAGACAAGCCTTCGAAGTTTTTCAAAAGAAAAAAACCTATGAACACAAAGAACAGACGCAATTATTGAAGGCCACCACTTCATCAAAGGTGTCTGCACTGAAGCATCATTCTTAGTGACTAACTACAACGCTAAAGCTAAGAAGCCCTTTACTATCTGTGATGAGTTGATCCTGCCTGCTGCTAAGGACATTTGTCATGAACTTTAAGGAGAGGCTGCCCTTCAAATGGTGGCATGTGTTCCTCTTTTGGCTTCCAACCTAACTAGAAAAATTGATGAAATAGCAGAGGATATTGAAGTACAATTGTTAGAATTAATGAATCACCATGATATGTAATCCAGGTTGACGAGTCTACCAATGTTGACAACAGTGCAACGACATTTGTTTTTGTGCAATATATTTTTCAGGAGGATGTGCATGAGGATATGTTATGTGCACTTTTGTTGCCAACCAACACCACAGCTGCAGAATTATTCAAGTTTTTGAATGATTACATATTAGGAAAACTGAATTGGTCTCTTTTTGTCGGTATATACATAGACAGAGTGGCTGCCATGATGGGACAGCTTTCTGGTTTCACTACTTAGGTCAAAGAAGTTGCTTCTAAATGTGAGTCTACACACTGTGTTATCTATAGAGAAATGTAGGCTAGCTGAAACATGTCACCAGAACTTAACAACGTTTTGCAGAATGTGATTAAAATTATCAACCACATTTAAGTACATGCCCTTAACTCTCGTATGTTTGGTCAGCTTTGTGAGGAGATGGACACAGAGCACACACATTTTCTCTTAAACACAGAAGTAGATGGCTTTCTAAAGGTGGATCACTGGCTAGAGCTTTGGAGTTATAAGAGCTGCTCCAGATATCTCTGTTAGAAAAACAGACCCCCTGGTGGCACATTTCAGTGACACAGAATGAGCTGCAAAACTTGCTTACCTGTGTGACATATTCAACTTGCTAAACGAACTCAATTTGTTACCCCAGGAGAGAATGACAACTGTCTTCAAGTTGCAGATAAAGTGGCCACAGTGAAAGCTAAACTAGAATTATGAGGGTGATGAGTGAACATTGGGATTTCTGACATGTTTCAAACATTAGCAGAGATTTGGAAAGAGACTGAGCTGGTGCATGATCACCTATCTCAGCTTTCAAAAGAGTTTGAGCTTTACTTTCTAACCACAAAGGACTACAGAACTGAGAAGGAATGGATCCGTGACCTATTTTTGAATAAGCCAGGTGTATCGACTTTGTCAGTGCTAGAAAAGGATCAACTGCTTGAGATTGCAAATGATGGTGGCCTTAAAAGTATATTTGAGAAAACTGTAAATATCCATATAATATGAATTAACATCAAGGAGGATTATCCCGAGATTGCCACAAAAGTACTGAAAAGCCTGCTTCCATTTTCAACATTCTATCTTTGTGAAGCAGCATACTCTGCAGTGACGGTGACAGCAACCAAAACGAGATTCTGGAGCAGACTAGACATCAACACACTTCAGATGTTACTGTCTCCCATCACCCCCAGATGGTACCATCCAGCTGCAGGAAAACAAGCTCAGGACTCCCACTGATTCTCCATTATGTTGTGTTGTATAATCACTTCATTATATATTACAATGTAATAATAGAAATAAAGTGCACAGTAAATGTAATGTGCTTGATTCATCCCAAAACAATCCCTCCTCACTCTCCACCCAGTTCCTGGAAAAATTGTCTTCCATGAAACGGGTACATGGTTCCAAAAAGATTGGGGACTGCTAAAGTAGTTTATTCAACCCTTGCCTTGTCTCTCCCTTCCCCCTTTTGGGGTCCCCGGTGCTATTCTCATCTTTATGCCTGTATGTACTCAATATTTAGCTTCCACTTCTAAGTGAGAATATGCAGTATTTAGTCTTCTGTTTTTATGTTAACTTGCTTAGGATAATAGCCTCCAGCTGCATCCATGTTGCTGCAAAGGACATGATTTCATTCTTCTTATGGTGGCATAGTATTCTGTAGTTTACATGTATCATATTTTCTCTGTCCAATTCACTGTTGATTGGCTCCTAAGTTGACTGCATGTCTTTTCTATTATGAATAGTGCTGCAATAAACATGCAAGTGCAGGTGTCTTTTTGTTAGAATGATTTATTTTCCTTTGGACGTATACCCAGTAATGAGATTGCTATGGTGAATGGTAATTCTATTTTTAGTTCTTTGAGAAATCTTCAAACTGCTTTCCACAGGAGCTGAACTAATTTACATTCCCATCAACAGTGTATATGTATTCCCTTTTCTCTGCAGCCTTGCCAACATCTGTTATTTTTTTGCTTTTTGATAATAGCCATTCTGACTGGTGTGAGATGGTATTTCATTGTGGTTTTGATTTGCATTTCTCTGGTGATTAGTGATGAGCATTTTTTCATATGTTGGTTGGGTGCTTATATGTCTTCTTTTGAGAAGTGTCTGTTCCTGTCCTTTGCCCACTTTTTCATGGGATTGTTTTTTTCTGATTGAGTTTATTGAGTTCCTTATAGATTCTGGATATTAGTCCTTTGTCACATGTATACTTTGCAAATATTTTCTCCCATTGTGTAGGTTATCTGTTTACTCTGTTGATGGTTTCTTTTGCTGTAGAGAAGTTCTTCAGTTAGGTCCCAATTGTCAGGTTTTTTTTTTGTTGTTGTTGCATTTTCTTTCAAGGACTTAGTCATAAGTTCTTTGCCTTGACCCGTGTCTAGAAAAGTATTTTCTAAGTTTTCTTCTAGAGCTGTTATAAATTGAGGTCTTACATTTAAGTCTTTAACACATCTTGAGTTAATTTTTGTATATGGTGAGAGGTAGGGGTCCAGTTTTATTTTTCTGTATGTGGTTAGCCAGTTATCGCAGCACCATTTATTGAACAGTGAAACATTTCCCCATTTATTATTGTCAGCTTTGTTGATGGTCAGTTGGCTGTAGGTGTGTGGCTTTATTTCCGGGTTCTGTATTCTGTTTCATTGATTTTTGTGTCTATTTTGGTACTGGTATGATGCTATTTTGGCTATTATAACCTTATTGTATGGTTTAAAGTCGGATACTGTGATGCCTCCAGCTTCGTTATATTTTCTTAGGGTTGTTTTGGCTATTTAGGTTCTTTTTTGGTTCTGTATGAGTTTTAGAATAGTTATTTCTAATTATATGAAGAATGTAATTGGTATTTTGATAGTAATGTGGTTGCATCTGTAGATTGCCTTGGACAGTATGGACATTTTAAAGGTGTTGATTCTTTCAATTCATAAGCATGAAATGTTTTTTCATTTGTTTGTGTCATCTCTGATTTCTTTCAGCACTGTTTCATATTTCTCCTTGTAGAGATCTTTCAACTACTTTGCTTGCTGTGTTTCTAGATTTTTTTTTTTTTTTTTTGGTGGCTATTGTAAATCAGATTGCATTCTTGAGTTGGTTCTCAGCTTGGACATTATTGATATATAGAAATGCCACTGATTTTTATGCATTAATTTTGTATCCTGAAACCTTACTGAAGTCATGTATCAAGTCTATGAGTCTTTTGGCAGAATTTTGAGAGTTTTCTAAGTATAGAATTATATCGTCAGTGAAGAGAGATAATTTGACTTCTTTTCCATTTAAATGTCTTTTATTTCTTTATCTTGCTTGATTGCTCTGATTGTGTTACTGGAAGTGGTGAGAGTGGGCATCTTTGTCTTGTTCCAGTTCTCAAGAGAAGTGCTTCCAACTTTTCTCTGTTCAGTATGATGTTGGCTGTGCGTTTGGAATGATTCACGAATTTTCATGTCATCCTTTCAAGGGACCAAGCTAATCTTTGTATTATTCCAGTTTAAGTATGTGAGCTGCCAAAATGAGCACCAGAAAAGCAAATAATAAGACAACAGCAACAGGAAACATACCAAAGAGGAGGAAGATAGGAAAATAATGAAGTACAAGCCTGAGATGGATATTCATATGGGCAGGATTTTTCTGAGCAATGGATACTTTTGGCATCTTACCACTAAGAGGGATCCCAAAGGAATTTGTGTTATTTAGAATAGGTCCAACTGCATGTGAAAGATATGTCCAAAATAGAACTAGTTATACAGGTTAAGGTTATTTCTCTCACAAGACAAAATCCAGAGGGCTGGGGTAATGAGCCTACTCCACAGAGTCATCAGTGACACCAATTGTGTGCAGATCAGAACTCTGTCAATCCTAAAATATGGTTTTGGTTCTCATGGTCTGAGATTCTGAGCTCTATTTATTACATCTGTATTCTGAATAAAACGGAGGAAGGAAGGAACACACACGCCCATTTTTAAGGAGTTTTCCAATAAGTCCCACACAAAACTTTTACTTATCTCTTATTGGCTATTACTTTGGTACATCAAGTTTCAAGGGAGTCTGAGAAATATAGTTTTTTAGTTAGATGACAAGGTGTCCAGCTAAAACTTGGATCCCTGTTATTAAAATAAAAGGAATGAATGAATATTGGGCATCAATTTATAGTCTCATCAATTTATAGCCTCAGCCTCAAAGTTAAATAAATTTGGGTAAGAAAATTAAAAAGGAACAAAAAGAACACAAGCATTGATTCCAGCAAACTGTGCCTGTCATGGATGTATTAAGTAAAGGAAAGAAACCAATTTAAGAACCACTGTAAGACAAGGTTCAACTGCTAAACACTCAGAGGAAAGTTAAGCACTAGAGACATGTATCCTAACAGCAGAAAGAGATGTTGCACAGGGAACTATTTCCACTGCATTTGAAAGAACTTTTTATTTAATGCCCAGAAAACTCAAAAGCTGAGGAAAAGGTAAGCTCTGGAGAAGAACACATGGCAGAAATATTCAACTTTGTTAGATCTTTAGGGGCCAAGATTTCAACCATAACTTCAATTTAGGAATCTCCAACTGAGATAATTATAAAGAAAATAGAGTAACTGCCCCTATTAGGCAGGTTTCATGGGCCTAAGGAGTGTCACAGAAAAAGTTGATGGCAATAGCCATTATAAATAAAAGCACCAGTCCTACTTACAAAAACCTATTAGAGTCTTTATCACCATATAGTATGTTTCAGCATTCCTATTCATTTCCCTGAAATTATGTTTCCATAAATTTCTTTAGCATGTGTCTTCAGAGCCCTGGATTTTTCCATTGACAGCATTGATAACTGTGTTTCTTGATGATTTCCTAAATGCTAGCTCCTTCTTTGGGAACTTGCTGTTATTATTGTTTATTTCATTAATTCAACATATATTTTGAACATGATACCTATATGATAACAAATTAATATTTTTCTTGGGAAACACCGTGAGCAAAACAAAGATCTGTCCTCTCACAGATCTTAATTTCTAGTAGGTGCAAAGGGATAATAATAATAACAGAATAAATAATCTAGTTTGCTAGAGATTAAGAAGTGTTGTGGAGAAGAGAAAGAGTAAAGTAGGGGTAAGTGGAATCAAGAGTGCTGGGGTATGGGCTGGTTCAGTGTTAAATAAGGTAGTCAGGGTGAGCCTCACTGAGAAGAGGAGATTTGAGCAAAGGCTTGAAGTCATTGAGTAGTCAACCAAGCAGGTACCTCTGGGAAGAGAATTCTGGGCAAAACAACCAGAGCAAAGGCCTTCAGGTGAGAGCATGCATGGTGTGTATGTGAGTCAGAGGCCAAGGCAATTGGAACACAGTGAGCAAAGGGGAAGGTGGTGGGAGAGTCAGAGGTAATTGTGGGGCAGCATGTAGGGCCAATTAGGTCATGGCAAGAATCTGGTGTTTGTTTTGAGTATTTGGAGGGTTTTCAGCAGAGAGAAGACATATTCTGACTTAAAATTTAAAATAATTACTCTGTCCACTGCAATGAGTGAGTGGTCCTGGAAGGTGGTGGGGTGAGGGGGAAGGGGGCATTGGAGCAAGGATAAAAGCAGAGAGGCCTGTTAAGAGGAGGATGCAGTTGAGAAATAATGATGGCTCACACCTAGGTGGCAAGTGGAGGCAGGATTATAGATACAATATAAAGGTATAATCATCAGAAATTTTGATAGATTAGATGCAAGGTGTGAAAGAATGAGAAGAATCAAGGCTGATTCATGAATTTAGCCTGAACATCTGGAAGGATGGCTATGCTATTTCAGTGAAGTAGGGAAGGCTGCAGGGAGTGTAAATTTGAGGCGGGATAATTGTTCATTTGCAAGTGAATTAGCTCATTACAATATAATTAGAGCTACCAGCTCTATCAGCAGGAGAGATGCATGCATGGTTCGGTCTCTGCTGTACTCAAGGGTATACTTGGCTTACCCCATAATGGTAATGGCAACGATCCAAACGTTCTGTAGTATGCTTCTTAATAGTCTGACTCGGTGTGAAATTCCAGTGATGTGTGTATGGTCTCTTGAAATTACTAATTATATCTTGCAATTTCTTCTAACCACTCTTTGTTCATTTCCTCCCCCAATGTGATAGATTCTCTTTATAATTACTAATACCTGCCTGTCACGTTTTTCTTTATGGCATCCCAATTTTTTTTCAAGGAATCCTGTTCCCCATTATTAGTCATTATCTTGGTGAAAGCTAGAATCATCTTCTTCAGCCTCCCATTCATTCTTTTAGCCCACAATATTCTTCTAATAAATTCTCTCTCCCAAGACAGTCAGAGTTGGTTTTCATGAGTATAATGAACATTGGCAGATATAGTTATATCTTTATTTAAATGAAAGAAACAGTAAATGTACTTTTAAACATTAGAATTCCATATTACAAAAGCTTATCGTATATTTGCTTTAGAAAGATAATTAACATGTTTTATGCAGTTTCATGTGAAATCTTATCAGCTTTAATCCTATTACATTGTCAACAATCCTATTACATTGTCAACAAATTCTATCAAAAAGTTCAAAAATTATCCTGAAACAGTTTGATAAAACGCTCCCTGGTAAGCTCCCTAAGCTGAGCTTTCTTTGCTCAGACTGTAAGCTAAATTGGGTTCATGAGCTTAGTTGTCTCTAAAAAAGCATGAAATCATAACTCAGTGACCACTGGCATATATTCAGTCTTTTCATACCTTTTAACTTTATGACTAAACTGATGATTTAGTCTTCTTTTTGTCTTAACTTAGATTTATTTTTAATACTTTTCCCAGTCTGGTATCAATTTGTTCAGTACAATGAATACAGCAATACAATCATTCCTAAGAAGAAAGTGTTTTTGCTTCCTTCTTTTCTTTTAGATTCTGAGTATAACCCTTTTAGATCCTGAGTTTAATCTTGACTTATTTATCTTTTGGGATCAATGAAGCATTTTTATTTATTTAAAAATATTTTTAAGCCATTTAACATATAAATTATAGAGGTAAGAATAAGGAGATAGTAAAAAAGTCATTAAAATTTTAATAAGAATTTAAACAGCATTTTCATTTTCAAAATATAATACTTTGAAAACATTTGATGGTACATTTTTGTTGAATGGAGGATTGCCACATCTTCTTTCCTACATAATAATAAACCATTTTTATTTTTATAAATGTCAAATGAATGATTATTTCAATGAGTTTCTTCATTTTTAAATTACATATTTCCTTCCAATTACTTGTAATATGAGTGATGTATACACAGCTATTCTAGTGCTTTTTCACTTTTGGCCGTGTCAAGTAAATTTTGGTGCAAAAACATTGTAAATACTCATCCTTTCAGCAAAATAGTATAATTTAGATTCTTGTTCTGAAATATCGTAAGATGAAGTCTTCCTTGCTAAATGACTAACTGAATGAGAAAACCATATTTTCTATTTGTCAATATACCTCTAAGCACTTCATATATATTAATTCATTTAATCATTTAATCTTCACAGCAACTTAATAGAGTTAGGGAGTCAAGGTCCCATTTTATAAGAGAGGAAACAGATACACAGAGACTCAATAAATTATATACGATCAAACACCTAGTAAGTGGCAGAGCCAGATTCAAACCCAAGCAATCTGTTCTTGACCAATACTCTACACACTCTAAGAACAAACAGTATAAACTCGTGATCCCAAAGAGGTGGGGTTTTTTTTGTTGTTTTTTTGGTCATTGTACTTGTAAAGATGCATATTCCGTGAATTTTTTCCTTTCTTGTAGATTTTTTATAGAACAAGGAGAAATACTAACAAAAAGAGGGAGGCTGCACGCACAGGAGAGAAAGGGCTAAAACACGGATCAGGTTCACTAATAGAGTAGGAAGGTAGGGTAAGCGAAGAGGGTCCAAGTGAAGGATTACTTTGGTTTAATTTATTCTGTCACTTATTCATTCAACAAATATTTATTGGTCACCTACTATTTACTGAGCAGTCATTAGGCAAATAATAATAAAAATAAACATGTGTTCCTGTCTTCATGGAACTTAGAGTGTATAGGAAATGTGGACATGAAACCAGTAATTAAAGGAGTGATAAATGCTATAAAATGTCTTCTTCCCTTAATCCTTTCCCTTGACTTTCTTTAAGCTCTGTCCTATGCTCTCTTAACTCCTCATTGAAAGCTTCTCAGTAGAGTCTCTCATAAATCCACAAATGTCACTTACCTAGTATACATGGTTGTCGGTTCCAAGTACACATCTCTTGCTCTATTTCTGCCCTGAGACTTAGACTGATAGATTTAACTGCTTGTTCCAACTTAACCCACTAAAGTCTAGCTGATATTTCAAATGCAGCTTGAGTAAAAATGAACTCATTTTTTTCTCAAAAGCTGTTTCTCCTAAGGTATTCCCTTATTTCACTAATAAATGGTGATACTATTTATCTATTTCCTAAGTGAAAATCCTAGAAGTCTCTAAAGACACATTGATCTCCTTCTACTTCAATCTCCAATCACCACATAATTCTATCAATTGATGGTTTCCTCATTCCCA